CATTTCCTTCTCCAAGGGATATTTCCGACCCAGGGATTGAACCCAAGTCTCCCACATTGTGGCTGGACTTTTTATCAACTGAGCCACCAGGGAAGCCATTTGTGCTATAGCAAATATCATCAAAAGGTTATAATCCATTTCAGCAAATTTGTTGGCATCCATCCCTAAGCTAAATGAATTATTTCATTTTGACAGCTCATGACATTTGATTAGCATTCCATTGAGACTTGAATCTTCCATAGTCATGTCATCATTTTTGAGTCAAAATGTTAGCTGAGGTAAGTATTGATGGTTTTTACAAATGGTTCAGAAAGTCACAGAATATAGTGTAAAGAAGTAAGTTATAGATAGACATAAACATCTAGACATATACACCTGGGATATAGCTCATCACGGAATATGAATTCTATTTATACAAGATTATATCCTGTTAACCAAAACTACAGACTGTGGTGAATGCCAACGGTAATATTAAGAAAAGACTGTGAAATAAACTATGTTGCTTCAAAAATTAAGGTGATACCGGAATGAGTATAAATAATAGCCGGCTTATGAGCATTACAAGGACTTTCTATAATAGAAGAAAGTAACACTTTATACATATAATCCTCACCTTTGTGGTACACTTGTAACATACATGTACATAAATGCTGCGATTAAACCAACTAATATTTTCATCTCCAATCAGCTGGAATAGAGGACTATCCCAGCTTGTTAGCACTGTTCATTTTTTTCTCATCTTCTTCATGAGTGAGGAAGATACACATTAGTGGCAATATGTATAGATGTATTCTCTGTACCAAACACCAAGACAGAAATGCAAAGAAGAAAACTAAAATCTCCAGCAAAGTATAGAAATAAATATGGAAGAGGACTATGACATCACAATCTATTAACTGCAATACTCAGTATGGTTTAATAGGATGGGCTATTGTTTAGTATTTGGTAGAAGATATTTCTTTTACAATTTGATGAAAATATATATCACCCTCATGATCAATATTATACATAAGCAGAGCTAAACTTTTGTCAGAAATCTTATAAAAGGAGCTACCCAGGGGAATAGAATAAAATCTTGGCCTTTACATTTTCTGGTCATGTCATCACAATGAATTAATGAACATTTTAAAGTTTTAGTTTCCTTATACATAAAATAAGGGAAATTATATCTAAGCATAATTCCTTCAGGTAAGTGATTAATATAAGATAACACTTGTTATATAGTTGGTATATAATAAATACATAAGGGGGAAGAGGTATGGAAGGATATTATTGGAGCAAAACAAACATATCTTTAAAAAACTCAAACATATAAAAAAGAAAACTTTTTAGAAAAAGCCAGGAAAAAAACAGTTAATGGTAATTTGGAGATTAAGAATAAATATTAAATGTGAATATACTAGTTTTAATTGCTTAAATAGTGAGAGAGAAATTGTTTGCACTGGCAATAGTTTGAAAATCTTCTTGGTGATAAGTGAATAAATACAAATATTTTGCTTGCTAGACAGGGTAATAATATCCTTTATTCACAGTTTATCCTGTTAACCAGTAGCTGCTTATATAAGAAGGAGAAACTAGTTAACGATAGTAACTAAAATATAGACAATAACCAATTTTATTAAATATACCTATGATTAGAGATTAGCATACTTTTATGTAATAAGGAAAGTGTTCATGGAAATGAACACTACTGGGCTGTTTTGGGATTAAAAACTTCAAAATAAAATTTTCTTCATTGCACTAGTCTTAATGAATGGTTCTAAATTAAATATTGTGGGAGGCAAAGTCATTCTCTTTAAATATTCAATGTAGACTTTTTAAATTCTTGGTCAAAACCAAATCGGAATTTTAAGTGGTACTTTGTGGAAACATCCAATTGTCTCAGCAAATGCATAACAGAAACTTTTCCCCAGATCTCTGAGAATGTCAGGCTCCATCTTCTGCTTTCTTGAATTAGTATATGCACCCAAAAAAGCTATGCAGATGCAACAATTAGTCAGAAAAGTAGAGAGGAACTTTTGATCAGTACTTGTTAAGCTTCAATTAAAAAACAAAACAAAACAAAAAACCCTCAGAGACACATAGAAATGATTTTTGTAGCTCCCAGATCTCATCAAAATCTTGATCTGTTAGTGTTCATGACATGTCCTTCTTGAGGAGGAACAGCTGCCAACCTGCCTGTAAGCTGACTGGATCATCACTTGAGATGAGTAAGGTTTAAGTGATTCCCAGCAAACACACCCTTTAAGCAGTGCATTCATATCAAGAGCTATTTTCTAGACAGGTCACCTATATATTAGCGAGCTGAGTAGGTAACCGCATCCGCTAAACCAACAGTAAAGTGGTGGTAGTTTAATCACTAAGTTGTGTTCGACTCTTTGTAAGTGGACATTTCATGAACACTAATGGATCAAGATTCTGATGAGATCTGGGAGCTATAAAATTATTTCTATGTGTCTCTGAGGTTTTTTGTTTGTTTTGTTTTGTTTTGTTTTATTTTCTAATTGAAGTTTAACAAGCACTGTTCAAAAGTTCCTCTCTACTTTTCTGACTAATTTTTGGACAGTAGCCTGCCAGGCTCCTCTGTCCATGGGATTTTCCAGGCAAGAATACTGGAGTGGGTTGCCATTTGGTCATAAATGACTGTCAGTAAGATAAGTTAGACTGCCTTTAATTTACAGTGCTTCAAAAGATACAAATTGCAGGGAGCTGTGCAGTCAAACATATGTCCATAAAAACCATGAGCCGGGATTTTCTTTTCTTCACCTTCATTCTTTCACAGTGTACCCTGGAGCTTTCAGAGGTCACCCACTGCCATATGTTCCCATCAATTTGATGATTATCATAATGTGTGTGTGTGTGTGTGTGTGTGTGTGTGTGTGTGTGTACATGTGTGCACCAACTCTCCAAGTTTTATCTCTAGCATTCTGCAGTACCCAATATTTTTTTAAGATCTTAGATATACTCTTATATCAAAAGTTTAATAAGTGCTGGCCTTGATTTGTGATCAGTTATTTCACGGAAGAGAAACCTAAAATAGAAAGCAGTCATCACCACTCTTTCTCCCCAAGAACTAGATGGGAACATGGATCAAACACCCAGACTACTGCAATAAGCCAAGAATTAATGAGGCTCTAACGATAAGCCAGTCGGCAGTGCTATTTTTACCCTGTGCCATGACGGCTTTGAGGAGTCATGCCATCATCCAGACTCTCCACTTATTTTGAAGAAGTTTTGAGAAAATGAAACAAAATAGCCTGTCCATAACAGATGCCACAATGGGTTACACATTTCCTCCCCATAACAGCATGACTCTAATCTTGTCTGGACAGATTCTCCTTTAAATAACTCTCGGGAAAGCCTCTTTTCTGGTGAGCCAGGAGAAAGTGTAAAAGATGTGTGGTCTAACTCTAAAGAAAATAAAATGCAACAGGCTAACCTTTCCAACCCACTCAGACTTGGTGAAATGAGAGTGAAGGACTCTTATCCTAAATAGATCCAAGAAGAATTGAAAAGAGACCAAAAGTTATTTTTTGTGTTTAGTAATAAAATCAAATCTATTGTCAAAATAGGAATTGTAACAAAGGTGGTTATTAGGGAAGATTATATCTACCTTCCTTTAGAATATTTTATGGTAGTGCTTCATTTTTCATTTGTATTAGTTTCTCTTTGATGGATGGAAGATGAGATGACATTGGGATTGCTTGGGTCATAAGGAATGAAAATGAATAGAGAAGCAAATATTATGAAACCACTTTCTTATCCATTGCCTCAATTTAAGTTCATCCTGATGATAAACTTCTTACAGATCAATAAAATCACTGGTTATACTGATCCTGAGAGTGTATTACACAATACTGTATTTTACATAAAGATATTTAAATTTCCCAAGGATCCCGTGAGCCCTCTAATCAACATTTCTTCCTCACACTGTGTCCCAAACTGACTTAATTTTATGATTTTACCTTTGATGCCTCACATTATTTATTGACTTTTGTTTTTCGACCTTGAAAGATGAGCGCATGTTCTACTCCCAACTCTGTCATGAGCCAAGTGACAGCAAACCTGTTTCAGAACCAGGGGTTTTAGAGCTGATCTTCATATAAGGACCAGCGGCAAAGTTAGCACTGGGACCAGACTCCTGACCCTGGTCTTTCTCTCTGTGTCATCACAGCCAGTTCTGTGTTATTAATAAAGAAATATAGTGCTGAGGGAATAGATGTCCCTGTGAGTTTCCACCCCACTGAATGAAAATGTATGAAATCTTAAGACACATATGATGAGGACATCAATGCCTATTTTATTTAAAAAAGAATTTCCCTGGAAGAGATAGCAGACCCCTCAAAAATTAAAGAGAAACAGGCTTTAAAATTGATGGTTTAAAGAATTATTTGTTTTTCTAAAACTAAGTTATAATGAACTCTCTGTTTCTTAATCTCCAGGACCATGTAGATTAAAGGGGAAATAACAAATCTATGGTCCTCTTTAGTGGTTAGAATCCTGTATAAATATTGGCTCTTATCTAAGTGGATTTTGCTCCCCCTGAGACAAATCCTATATAGAAAAAAAGGTTAATATATTGCGAATTAATATTTGGTCAGTAGAAATAATCTAATCCAGTTCAACAAGATGGATTTCAACAAATATTTTTAAATGCTCACATGTAGTTTTCACTGTGCTATGAGTTAACCAGAGTACACTACACAACAAAAGACATGAAATAAATGCTTTAGTGTGAGTCAGACATTAAGCAATCAAAAAACAAAGCAAAAATGATCTTTACAGATCATCAAACAGCTATAATTAAAAAGTCTGTGGGGCTGTGAGCCCCAGATTCATCACCTACCAGCTGCGTAGGCGATGTGCTGTCAAACGTGTCACCTAACTTTTCTGCGCTTCAGCTGGCTCTGAACTTCCACGCTGGGCTGAAGACTTGGTTAATACAGAGAAGTGTCTGGCACACCAGAAGAGCCATAGATGCTACCTATTGCCATACTCACTTGTAAATTTCAAGTTTAATGATGATTTGTAGACATGGTAGGAGGTGCCACAGTGACTGCTGGAAGCCCTTCCAAGTGAAAGTTCCGGCTTAAGCGCTGAAGGAACCAGACGTGAGAGCCGCCCACGAGGACATGAGGGTCCAGGGCGGGAAGCTGGCGGGAAGGGGAACAGGCGAGTCCCGAGGGAGGGAGGCAGGGTGGCTGCACTAGGATTCTGGAGGCTTCCTGAGCAGGTACGAGGCGGCGGAGAACAGGGGAAGGGCGTGGAAGGTGGGGGCAACGCAGCGGGATGCCGAGCAGTGTGCGCGCCAACTGTGAGATGACAGGTGTGCTGGGAGCCCGGGTGGTGAGGGTGAGGGTTGGGAAGCGCTCCGCAGGAGAGGACCGCGGTCACCGAGACATCTGAAGGTCGGCTCGGCAGGGGAGCGCAGGGCGGAACTGCGTTTAAGGCAGGCTGCGGGCGGCCCTCAGCCCCAGCCCAGGGAGGAGAGCTTCTTTCACACCAGAGGGACGTCTCTCCTTCTGAGCGGGGAGGGAAGGCGGTCAGCAGAGAGAAAAGAAGACGGAGTTGCAAGGACAGAGGTCCAGGGAGAGAGAGAAACAGTTCTCCCTGACCTTGGCGTGCCGAGCAGAAAGGATGACACCTTTGATGGTGAAGGCTAAGAGCGAGGGGCTTCTTGAGAGTCTTGAGGACAGGCCTCAGCACCTGGACCTTTGCTGTTTGGATAGGACGGGAGAGGGAGGAATTGCAGCACATCTTGCTTCCTGGATGTAGAGGAAGCAGACTTCAGAACTGACCAAGAAAGAGAGCTTTGCTAGACACACACAAGGCAACGGCAAAGGAGGTCCATGGCGTTGGTGGGGGGCAAGGACGGAGGGGCTCAGACCTGGGGGTAGACTGAGGCAGCTGGGGAATGGAGACCCTGAGTGGTCAGAAGTGAGAAGCGGAGACTCTGAGGGTGTAAGGCAGAGGGACATCTCAGAAGCAGCGTCCGGAGATCAGAGTCCCAGGATTCAGGTTTATGCATTTATTTAGCAAATGTTTATTCAGTGTTTCATACGACTTTGAATGAGGCCTCATCAGCATACATGATACAGTGGCCAACAATGCTCACAGTGGCCTTTGAATGCTCACAGCCAGTGGGCAGGAGCACCACACCTAGGCAAGAGATCGTCGACTTTAAGTGCCAGAGGTGATGGTGCATCAGGATTCTAGAATCTTTAACGGTAGAACTTACACATCTGTGCTGTTTGGCGTCAGGAAAGGCTAAGTGAGCAAGGTATCTGAGCTGAGAAGTGGTGAGAGATTAGGATGTAACTAACTAAAAGGCGGGGGATGGGGGCCCAAGAAGGAGCAGTAATACTGCTTCCACCAGAACTACAGGTCAAGCGGACAGGCGAGGATGACCCGAGGGCAGGATGTCATCTGGGGACAGCTCAGCTCACTGGGGGCTGGGGTCCTTCATCCAGTAATCATGAAAAGCCACTGGAGGAGTTCGCAGAAAGCCAAGACACGGTGATAACTGGGTTCTGAAATTGTCAGCTGTCAGCACTGTGGACCCAGGGCCATAGGAAGATGAGTCTGTACTCTGGAGACTAGTTAGGTGAGGCCACTGCAACTGTCAGGCCAAGAAGTCTGTGCAGGCGGGGCGGGGGAAGCGGTTGCTGAGATGGGGTTTTGGTAAAGTGAGGAGGACCCGGAGGTGGAAAGCAGGGAGTGAAGGAACCTTGGAGGAGGTCAGTGGGTCTCCAGCGCAGCACCTGTGGGCACAGTCCTGCCTTTCCTCGGGTGGAGGCCACTCTCAGAGCACCCAGGCTCCATGGCACAGGACCACGAGGAAGGTTGGAATGGAGAAGAGTTGAGATGCCTTTAATTAGCTGAATTCCAGGAGCCAAGTAGAATTATACATTCAGCAGCTGCACTTATGGCTCTAGAATTCTGGGCTGAAGGGGAGATGGTAACTGAATGAATATGGATGTGGAGGTTTGGAAGCACAGTCCAATAGCAATTGCTTAAAACTAAAAGAAGAAAAAAAGTATATGACTGACTGCTGAGGAATTCTGATATCTACTGGGTAAGCGGGAAATTATCTTGAAATGATGAGATGAGATAGGACAATCAGAGATAAGATGAATATAGAATAGTTCACCATGTTGAAAAAAAAATTGGGTAAAGAGAAAGAGACCAAGATTGCTAAATGCTGTTGGTCACTCAAGATGTATGAAGACTGGGGAATGTCACTAGGGTCTCCAGGACCTTGTACTTTGGTCACCAGTCTCTCATCAATCCAAGGACCCCCCGGCACTTTTACCATCTCTGACCCTTTCTTTATCCCCCACCTATCCCCACTTTGGGGGGCTGGTGTGCCCCTGTTACATGGGACTGTACTCATCACATAAATGGGCATTCTTTAGAAGTGTGACTTTCCACAAAATAAGTATGTTTTCATTGACAGTGGGGACCTTACTTTCTTTTTTTTTTTTTAAATCCCCATGACCCATTAACATTTAGAGTAGGAACTGCATCAACATTTGGCTAATGGAAGGAAAATAGAGAAGGATAGAAAGTAAGTGACAGAAAACAAGAGTGGTCAACAGAGAGGCAGAATGAGTTTACTAGAGTAGGGATTTTTATTGTTAAAACACAGAGTAGAACCTACACAGAAGAATACATACTAAGGCTGTACATATGAAAGTGAAAGTGAAGTCGCTCAGTCGTGTCCAACTCTTTGCAACCCCATGTGCTATAGCCCACCAGGCTCCTCCGTCCATGGGATTCTCCAGGCAAGAGTACTGGAGTGGGTTGCCATTTCCTTCTCCAGAGGATCTTCCCGACCCAGGGATCGAACCCGGGTCACCCGCATTGTAGGCAGACACTTTGCTGCCTGAGCCACCAGGGAAGGGTGTACATGTACAACATGATAAATATAATGAACACTGCTGTATGTTACATGAGACACTTGTTATAAGGATAAATCCTGGCCTTCTCATCACAAGGGGAAAGTGTCACTTCTTTAATTTTGTATCCATATTAGATGATAGATGCTCACTAAACTTACTGTATTAATCATCTCACACTGTAGGTAAATCAAATAATTGTGTTTTATACCTTCAACTTACACAGTGTGGCATGTCAATTAATCTCCATAAACCTGGAAGAAAAAAATAAAGAAGTAGAAGGGAAGAATTTCTGCCAGCAGATCCAGTGGGGCTCCTCCCCTCCAGGTACCTTTGCTTCCTTTCCCATCTTAGCGGCTCTCCTTGCACTTCTGCCAGCAGGGGCATGGCATTCCCTCTTCTACTTTAATCGTTAGATCCCACTTCTCCTCTGGAGAAGGAAATGGCAACCCACTCCAGTACTCTCGCCTGGAAAATCCCATGGACTGAGGATCCTGGTAGGCTACAGTCCATGGGGTCGCAAAGAGTCGGACATGACTGAGCGACTTCACTTCACTTCACTGAGGGGGCATTTGAGAGATTGCCAGTGGCCTGATACATTCAACAGAGCTAACTGTTTGCAAAGACTCAAAAGATATTTTAAAAAAAGTGATATCTCAATAAATGGGAAAAAATGATGAACAGGTTTAGCCAGAAAAAAAAGATTTATGCAATATCCCTTACCAAAACATTTATCTTATTTAGCCCTAACAAACTGCCAAAAATTCTCAGTAACTGAGAAACTTCACAGATACCACTTCTATGTTTCCTCCAATACAGTTCCAAGGAATAGTGTGACATGCCTCTCATTGTTTTCTACATTATTTCCAGACTGATGACCTCATCCAACAAGCCCAGGCTGCTTCATGTTCACTGGAAACACTGATGGATGAGTTGGGTCCCCAACTCCAGGCCTCTCCACAGAGTAGGAAAACTACAAATGGAAAACTGAAAGTTAGGGGGGAATGAAACTGCTGTTCTGCAGAGCAGTCAGCTTATTAAGCTCATATCCTCCAAGAATACTGAGAAGCCTAAGAAAGATTTGGCTAAACTAAAGAAGCACAATGATACTCATCATTTACAAAGCACATCCAAGTTTCTAAAGTGCTTCGTGTACAATATGCCATTGGTGCTTCACAAGAATCTTGTGAGCTATGGTTTATGTTTCGACAGATACACAAATGAAGCAGTTAAGAGACGTGTACAAGCTTTATAGCATGAGCAATTCTCATAAGGAACAGAGCTGAAATTATTCCTTCCCGACATTTTTATCTTATTTCACAAGCTCTTTTAAATCTCTCAGATGTCTAACCTTCTTCAGAAATTGCTTAAAAATAAATCTGGGCAGGTGATTTGGATTTTATGACTCTCCAATTAAAAACACATACAGCAATTCAGCCCATGCTGTTGACAATACAAATGAGTGAAACTTACGATCAACTCTGTTTTACAGTGCCTAACTTAAAATATGATTCAGCATTTATCAGAATTAAAAACATCATTTAGATACAGATGGTGCCAATCAGATGAAGAGGAAGTAAAAAGTAATGATGACTTTTCAGAATGTGATATTTGGTTCACTATCCAAAATAACAGCATGGCGTTACTCTGTTTATAACTTAGGACACTAAAATTGTCTGCACTGACACAGTCCAGAAAACAAAACAAAATAGCTCCGACGGAGCATTCCTTTGGGACGGAACCAACATTTGTTAGCAGATACCCACATAGGAAAGACACATGTAAAAAAGACAGTGACAAATGCCTTATAAGATAATTACCAAATTAAAACAATGATTTTTCCTAATTAATCACATTACAATGATGCCTGATCACTAATAGAACCAGATTCTTCTTCCAACAATGTTTAATTTTCCCCAGAGAATGTGCTATCTTATGCACCTTGACTCTCAACTCCATGAAGTCCTGATATTCATCTGCAAAGCCACTACCAGAAGCCTCAGAGAGACGACCATTTTCCCCCAGTCAATATTTCCATCTACTACCTTGACAGAACCAGTTTCTCTCTGCTTCTCTGAGATTAATCTGCCTCCTTGTTTGCTGAATTCCCAAGCTAGCACAGAGGGAGCTGTCCCTAGGTAGATTCCAAGTTTAGCAACATTCTCAGACAGTAAAATTACCATCTTTATTATAAGGGAGAAAAGGATGTTTTTCAAATAGCTCTCTTAGTGGCACTTTCTCTGCAGTTAACTCAACAAGAGGAAGAGATGAGTAGCTCTGGCTCTTCTTCGTGAATTGGACAGCGGCGCATACCTGGTGGTCAGACCTGCTTGGGTCCAAGATGACACCGAGCCTGCCAGTCACCAGATTAACACAAAAGAAGCTTAAGCAAAGCCTTCCGTTTATTATAAATAGACGCCTAATGTGGGAGGATGAGCTATTTTAAAAACTGCAATGCTGTCTCTAATGATCATTTCCTAATATGATTACTAGTGAGGGAAGGATAAAAACTAATAAGAGACATGATTTTTAGGTCATAGGTTGAAGTATTTTCATCACAAACAGAAAAATAATCAGATGCATGAACATTTTTAAAGTGATTGATAAGAGTTCTCAAATCAGGA